GAGAGATGCTGCCTGGACTAAGCATATCATACGTCATATTATTCATGTTATTATTATCGATAGGATCCTTTCATATTCACGGATAAGCTTTTTAATGCGTTTATTATAAGACGAGAGGAAAACACATTGTTGGCTTATATTATATTTATTTCAGAGTACTTTCGACATAGCATAATGTCATCATCAGGGTATTGTTAACTATAGATTAAGTATTTAGTTTTCATAGTTGTGAAAGATAAAAAGTGTTGTTGTCCGAAAATTACCATTTTTACATGTGGAGTCAAGCATGCTGTCTCATGGCTTAGGTGAGGGACACCGTTTCAGAGGATGTAACTAGGTATACTGTCGAAACATTCTGGCCCTGAGTACTTTCTAGATAAAGAAAAACTATTAATGACAAGCGCTAACATAATAGAATATCTATTTTACACATTTTAATATATATACATATATATATATATACAGGCTGCGATGGATAAATTGTCATCTAAATTACGCAAAAGTGAAAATAATACTGATATCTCATGTTAACAGATATATTTAACAAAATTATACAATATATAATGAAAAATCAAAGAGTAAATGTATTCAATAAAATCTCCATTGGTTTCAACCACAGCCTCCAGGAAACTTCAGAATCGCCTGCAACTCTTCTGGGCGGTTTCCTTGTTTAAGTTGGTGAATGCTGCCATAATCCTTACCTTCAGTTCATCGTTGGTGTTACAAAGAGTTTTGTTGGTCTCTGACCCACACATAATATTCAAGTGGGGGTAGCAGTCTGAAGAGTTAGGTAGCCAAATATAAGTGATAATATGGTCTCAGAAATTTGTATGTCAGCCATGGCTGGGTTATCCTGTTTGTGTAGAATGGTGCAGAGTCCTGTTTTCAGACATATCGCATTCCAGCAGCAACCCACTTGGCCCAGGTCAGCACCCAACAACAAATGCGAGAGTACTTTTCTTATCAAAACGACCAGAGTGAGATTTCAGAGAGAGAGGTGCCGTATCTTTGTAATCACCATTAGACTCATCCAACTCTTTTCGAATCTTCTGCAGCGTCTAACTGAGACTCAGACACACTGATATTTCCGTGGTGCTTCTAGCGAGAATGTAAAATAGTACAGCATGCCTTTTCGAAATTTCAGCTGCGTCATGGTTCTCTTTTTCTCACAGACGGTGCCACACTAATTTTACCAAATCAAAGACATGCAATGCACATATGACAAAATAAAATATATGTCAGCAATTTACCCATCATATATATATATATATATATATATATATATATATATACATACACACACACACACACACACACACATATATATATATATATATATATATATATATATATATATATATATATATATATATATATATATATATAGTTTTATACATGGGTAAATATCGACATATATTCTTATAGATTTTATTTTTTAAATTATATATATATATATATATATATATATATATATACACGTATCTCATAAAATCATAATAAATGACTTCATTCTTGTCCACTGTAAATCCATTTTATAGTTGAATATATTTCCTCTAATAAAGTTATCCTCAATGCATTGAAATTTTAATTTTAATATGACGTTCGTGTTATTAATTTAATTTTTTGAATATTACTAATATCTTATATATTATAATTCTGCTTGTCCGTCCCTTCGTTCGTTAGAGCCTTAGTTTGTACGATCAAAACACCCAGCCATTACCTCATAAATACAGAGGTATTCCTTTTGACTAGGTGAAAACATGGAATTGGCATGTCAGAGAAGCTACTTGGTTCCAATGAAAAAATGAATGGAAGAACGAAAGAAAGAAGCGAAAATAGAAGGGATTAACGTCTGTTTCAGTGAAATGGAAAACGAAGCCAATTTGATATATTATCTTTTGTACCCGCTTTCTTCTTAAAATAACAAACAACATTCATATTTATGATTTTTATTGGAATGTATTGTTAAATAGGTTAAAGGCAAATATTTAACCATGCGATGGGAGAATTTCTACAGTCGTTTTATTGAAATATTTATTCTGATGGATTCGATTCGAGATACCTTCAATTTTCACGAGTCCTTCTAGTTTTAATTATTTTTCAGTATTATTATTATTATTAATAATAATAATAATGATAGAAGGATGAGCTTTGTAACACTACGTAAACAAAACACCTAGAGATAAAAAAAGAAACAAACTTCGTTCCAAGGCGTCACCTATCTTGGTAATGACCAGACTCGACATAGCTTAACTTCGGTGTTCCTAAGAGGAGCGGGTATTGCAGATATATATTTCTTTTTTTTTCTATCATCCCTTAATCCATCCGACACATGTACAAATCTACGTTCGTCCATGCATTGAATATTGTGTATATATCTGGTCTGGCACCCATACAGTTCATCTCGACGTCCTCAACGAAAGAAGGATATTCAATGTATTCAGTCATGACTTGGCATCTCGGATCTATTCACATTCTCAAAGATGTGATATGGCTTCCCTCTGTCTTTTCAACAAATAATTTCATGGTAACTTCCCTGACGAGCTTTTTTCCCTGGTTCCATGACTACATGAATTTAGACGTGATACTAGATTGGCATCTAGGTCCCACCCTTTTACTGCTGAAATAGCTAAATGCAGTCGCTACTTCAACTCCAATAGTTTCTTTTCTTGCACTTCCCGATTGTGTAACTCCCTTCCGCTTACATCCTTCTCTGATAAATACAAACTTGAAAAATTTAAATACAAAGTGAATCGCCATCTTTTATTTGTCTCGGGCCTCGTATATCTTTTATCTTTTCTTCAGTACCCCTATTCACAGTCTTTTCTTTCACATTCACTCTCCGTAACCCCTTGCGTGCTAGTTGCATTCCCGCCTTGCGTGGGGCGAAATGATTCAAAAGTCTTTAGAGCCAACCTAGTTACTTCTGTATCCATGGTGAGCAGGCATTAGTTTATGTTTTAGAGAGAGGGTGCATAATCTGCATACACCTGCTGAAGGCCGAAGAGTACAGCAGCTGGAACGTTGTGATGAAAACAAGAAAGATCAAGACAATAGTTCGAATGTAAATAGCATAAATAAATATATAAAGTTTCTCTTGCATTACCAGCCACTGTTCAGTTGTGCTTCATTTTCAATGACAGCCACAATTTGATAAACAATTTTTTACTTAAACCAAATGTTTATTCCACGGCGCAGATATTGTTTATTTGGGCAAAAACTGATACAATCAACGCGATGAAATGGTGGAGCAGCCGTAATATGAGTAACCAGGATATAATTTTAGATACAGTGAATTATTTTGACGGATTGCTTTAATTAATCATTCCCATGATATCTCCGCTGCAAGCAGATAATTTTATTCGGATACTGGCAAAAAAAAAAAAAAATGGGACAAGGAGCTTCCATTAATTTAATAATTTTTTCTTTTTTGTCTGCATGATGAAAATAGATTCAAGCGTAATATTATGAATACATATAAAAGATAAACAAAAGACGCATCCAATGAATATTTAATAAAATCATGCTTATTAATATTTAATTGTTCAATCGTAGTAATCACTGAAGCGGTTTCCTCCAAAAATCGATAAATTTCGAATCTGTTTTCGGTCGTAATTATCAGAGAAATTCATGCCTGATTGAATTTCTCGGATGAACAGCATTTCCCGCTATTTTACAGACAATACAAGGCTTAAGATCAACTCAATGTAGATTAGTTTGCTTTGTTTTACGGCATATCAATGGGTTATTTAATGGCGACACAATTTTTATTGCTGGTAATATTTTTTCCTTAAAAAATCTATTTCTATTAATATTTTTTTTAACAAGTATTGCTGGTAATAATCTATTGTTGGTAGTAATATATTGCTGGTAATAAATTTTCCTTCAATAGTCTGTTAATAACTGTTTAAAAACTATTTCTGGTATTAAAAAAATATTTTTATATTTTCATAATATTTTCACCCAGTTTGTGATTTAACTATTTGCCCATAGCTGGGACCCGAACAGGTGCTACCACCCGGATTAGGGTAGACCGAGGAACACCAGCAATTAATAGGTGGTTCCATGACTCTCAAAACAACCTGATCAGAGGCCTTTCTGTTGGACGTATTTTATCGTCTTACCCAGGACGCGAATGTAGTTTATCGTCATACCCTGGGGGTCAACAAAAGGTAGAGGGTTACTGAAAGAGTCTGTTGTATAGATATAAGAATTTTAGATTGTAAGAACAGGAAAGACAGATGAGGGTTGACCATAGGTTTGAAGAGGTTAAGATGAGTGTGGCTTAGAATGCGTCCTCACGCGAGTCTGTTCCACAAAGCACCGCCTCTTTGGAAGAAAATTTCCTAATGAAACTTGCTTCTTATCAATGGAATACGAAATGGATTGTTAGAGTTTGGGCCTGTGCAAGTGTCGTGGCTGGTCTTAGCTGTATGGGGTCTGAAACCTTTGTATTAAAGGTCAGGGGTTATAAGGTGGGGACATCTGACGAACTATTCCAGATTTTGTAAGATATAATGATTAGGTGCCTGCTTAAAATTATTATTGATGATATTCTTTAATCCTTCCCACCTGTTGTAAGTATTGATATATATATATATATATATATATATATATATATATATATATATATATATATATATATATATATAGCCGTAATTGAACACAAAGTTATTTCTATTAAATAACCTGTAGAATAATTCGAAACATAACCGTCAAGTCCCACCTATTAACTGACAGTATAATAGACTTTATTACCAATGACGCACCACTGACAGGCATATATAAATATTTTCGGCCGATCCTACTGAAAAAGAGCCACACTATTTGGACTCCCGACCACGGAATTAAAGGAATAATGTTTAATATATCTTCTATCCACTATGTCACCGTTCGGATAGACAAGAATGGTGCATGATTTAGTCATTTTGTATGTAAGTATTTCGACATATATTTATCATTGTTTATTCAGACGATGTGAACAATACTTGGACATAAAGTAAAAAGTCGTCGTCTTCTTCTTCAATTACTCCTCCTTCTTCTCCTCCTCTTCCTACTTCTTCTTTACTTCCTTCCTCTCCTTCTTCACCTTCTCCCCCCTTCTTCTTCTGCTCTTCCTCCTTCTGCTTCTTCTTTTCTCCTTCTCCTCCTCCTTTTTTTCACTTCTTCCTCTTTCTTCTTCTCCACTTCCTCTTTCTCTTCCTCATCTTTCTCCTTCTCTTACTCCTCCTCCTCTTTATTCCTCTTCTTCTTCTTCTTCTATCTCCTTCTTCTCCTTCTCTTCCTTCTTCTTCAATTCCTTCTTCTCTTTCTTCTCTTTCTTCTTCTTCTCCTCCACCTCCTCCTTCTTCTCCTTCCTCTTTCTTCTTCACTTTCTCCTCCTTCTTCCTCACCTATTCCTCCCCTTCTCCTTCTCGAATTCCTCTTTCTCTTCCTCATCTTTCTTCTTCTCTTCCTCCTACTCCTCTTTCTTCCTCTTCTTCTTCTTCTTCTTCTTCTTCTTCTATCTCCTTCTTCTCCTTCTCTTCCTTCTTCTTCAATTCCTCCTCCTTCTTCTTCTCTTTCTTCTTCTTCTTCTTAAATTTCACCTCCTTCTTCTTCACCTTTTCCTCCCCTTCTCCTTCCCCACTTCCTCCTTCTCTTTCTTCTCTTTCTTCTTCTCCTCCCCCTCCCTCTCCTTTTATCTCGTCTTTTTTCTTTCTTTTCTTTCATCTTGTTCCTCTTTTATGCGTCGTTTCCCGTCATTAAGTAGGCGATTATTATCAGAGTCACTATCAGTGTTAACCTGTTCACAATTAATGAACAAAGAAATTCACTCGAAAATTTTGTATCGATCTGAAAAGATTATAATCAGATTAGACAATGTCAGGAGAGTGACGAGATGAAGAGGTAAGTATCCATATTCGGTGCCATAATCTTTCTCCAAATGATTCGGTGAATATTTGATTTTGATTTAAATTGTAAAAACAATACCGTTTTACTCCTAATCAAATTTATTGTTCCTTTCTTCCGAATAACAACAGCATTTTTTTCTTAATCTAATTTGCCCAAAGGAAGGCTCGACGTTTCTTAATGTTGGTGCTCGTCCGAGAACCGGTGTTTCAACGTCGTATGGCCGTAAACAATTTTTTTTTTTTAATTTAAATATTTTTTTTTTTTGTTGTTGGATTCAAGTTATGGACTATCTCTATTCTAACACCAATTCTAGACACTATTTTCCGTTTTGGAAATGTTTACCTTTATTCTTCCTTGGGAAAGAATGTTGATTATTTTTTAATTTAAATATTTTTTTTTTTTTGTTGGATTCAAGTTATGGACTATCTCTATTCTAATTCCAATTCTAGACACTATTTTCCGTTTTGGAAATGTTTACCTTTATTCTTTCTTGGGAAAGAATGTTGATTTGCCCTTTTCAAAGTCCTATTTCTACAAACTATTACTAGCTATATCAGTAGGATATTCTCCAATTATCATCTATAGACTGGCCTCCGGAGGTAGAATTTCAAGAAATTATTTTTCTCTGATGTAAGTGGCAAATTACGTTTACTCAGTTGTGTTTAAATCGGTCACAGTCGATTGAATGAGGAGTTAACCTTACTACCGTTGTAGCCATTAAACGAGGCTAATAGACAAAAAAAAGTGGAATGGTTCATTCTGATTATTTTATTCTAGACGATTGCTTTCAGTGAATTAATTAGCAAATCAGAGTTTATGCAAGTGATATCAGTTTTCGCAAACAGATTCACTTCTCCAGATTCCAGCGCCCTCTACCGGTCAATTTATTAATAGGCAATTTAGCCAATCGGATCTTTTTATTTACATTGTTCGGACCAGACCACACCATTCATCACTCAGTTTACAAATGATGACAACCGAATAAGAGAAGCTGCGTCCTGTCTTATAACGTTTGTCAAGATAATGTCTGGCTAACGAATGATAAATTTGTATTAAACGTCTATTTTTGTAAAGCTTCGTGCTTAGTGTAAAATTAAAAAAAAGAACTTTCCCTTCTAAATGTATTCTGCAGACTTTCGATATGTTACTTTTATATATTTTTTATTCTTAAGATTGCTGATTATTAATGAAAAAGTATTATTTAAAGTAGAGTTTTTTCAGTGTGAAGCATTGACAAAAAAATCTATCTATTCTTGTATCGATTTAACTTAATCTCGTCTTTAAGTGAAATTTCTAAGTTAAAAAATGTTTTATTCTCATTTTTAGTAATTCCGTTATTATTTACTTTTTTCGTATTTTTCCAATGAAATATGACCCACTGCACATGTTAGTACTTCGTATGTGTATTTCATGAAGTCGTTCCTTGCAGACTGAACACAGATTCTCTATTGGATTTAAAACAGGAGAAACAAAACTCTTAAATTCAAACCGTGTCTTATTTAAATCAAAACATTTTTACAAGAACAATTATTTATTTACGAGTGAATATTTCATTAAAATCTTTTTGTGGTAACGATAATTTTTTTTCTTGATACAATTGCTACTCTTTAGTCCATAATACATATTTATTTGAACAATATAATATTTTAATATCAGTTTAATTTCTTTTAAAATATTGGTTGAAAAAGTTTTCCAGGAGTCCCAGATTATTTTTTAATCAAATTCACCCAAAGTTAAGCCACTAAAACACAAGGGGTTACTCGGTGTGAAAGCATTAGATAACAAATATATTAAGGAGTGAGAACAAAAGAAGAGTAATTAGGAGGACAGTAGAAAGCGATTAGCATTCCATTTATTTTTTGAAGATTATAGTTAACTGGAAAGCATGGAGCCGGAAAGGGATCCCACTAGCAGAATATGGAAGGAAATATCCGTTAATTTAGGAATTACGGTTAAATCAAATTAATTGAAACATAACTGAAAAATTGAAACCGTGGAGAAGGAATATGAAAATAATTAGTTATTTGCGATTGCATTAAAATCTTTTTGAGATAACAATAATTTCTCCAGATACACGTGCTACGTTTTAACACATATATTGCGTGAATGAGTGCCTCATAAATTTCCCATGAGCATTTCCGCGTAAACAAATGTAAAAAAAACTCCTAAGAACACATTAGAATGAGTCGATATTAAAGAAAATGAATCTGTGAAGAGTTTTGATAACATACTCTGTGAAGGGTCATGGGATTATAATTCAACATTTTCAGGATATCATAAATTGTTAAGTATATGGCTGACACGGTATTTGTTAAGTACTGCCGTTGTTCCTCAGTTAGCAGAGTCGATTGCGACGTTTCGTAAATTCGTAAGGTTTTCTTGGAAACAATATGACAACATGTTTGGCTCTTACGGAAAATCAAATAAGACATGTTTACACTAAAAGTAATATTATCTCTCTCGTAAATTGCAAAAGCGCAACGCATATGGTCCTTACATGTTCTATGATTGACCTTAATAAGCGAATTTTACCGATTTCTTCTTAGTAGCAGTAAATGAACAAAAGGGAAAGAAACTTCCAAATCCGAGTAGTTTCAGACCCGCGTGTTAACTACGAGGTGATCATCCGCACTGAGGAATGAATTAGAAAGAAACTCTTCATACAGAAGCAATGATTTCCCTCTCGCTAACTGATACGTGGTTAATTTATGGTGTAATGATAACAGACGCTGCGCTATCATCAGTAGCTGAGGAGCATATCTTTTTGGGCGCAGATCGACAGTCTTTCTATTATTGACGGTTGTGTACAATAGCCCATTCTAAAAAAAAAACATCTTACTAGCTACAAACAATTATTTCGTCTCCCAGTTTTTGATTTTATAAGGAAAATATATGCCTGACGATGAATAAAGGATTATTCGAAAGTACTTGCATTTTAAAATATATAAACTGGAAACAACAGACAACAGTTTTATAAATGAGGATCACATCATTCTATGGATTAACAGTATTTTAATGCATACATTATATTCTACTAGCGATGGATATCGCCAATAATAGCATTAATATTGCTGATTGATTTTATGCGTGATTATTTCTTTGTATATAAATTATATGCTGCCTAATGTTTTATGTTTATATATATATATATATATATATATATATATATATATATATATATATATATATATATATATGTCTATCTCATACCATAACAATATCTATACAATATTCATTTAAAAAAATTATTGAATATTATACGCTTACTTTTTTAACAGGTTTTGAATTATGATATCTTTTGTCTGCACATGCTTTGACCGCCCTTTCAGAACATTCAATAACTTTAACAAATTTAAAAGCCTTAACATCCTGTCTTTTGTACCTAAAAAAAACATCCACGCTTTTGTACATAAAAATGACAGCCACGCTTTTGTACATAAAAATGACATTACAGGCTTTTGTACATAAAATGACATCCACGCTTTTGAACATAAAAATGACATCCACGCATTTGGAAATAAAATGACATCCAAGCTTTTGAACATAAAAATGACATCCACGCATTTGAACATAAAATGACAGCCACGCTTTTGTACATGAAAATGACATTACAGGCTTTTTTACATAAAATGACATCCACGCTTTTGAACATAAAAATGATATCCATGCATTTGAACATAAAATGACATCCAAGCTTTTGAACATAAAAATGACATCATCGCTTTTGTTCATAAAAATGACATCCACGCATTTGAACATAAAATGACATCCAAGCCTTTGAACATAAACATGACATCCACGCTTTGGTACATAAAAATGACATCCAAGCTTTTATACATAAAAATGACATCATCGCTTTTGTTCATAAAAATGAAATCCACGCATTTGAACATAAAATGACATCCACGCATTTGAACATAAAATGACATCCAAGCCTTTGAACATAAACATGACATCCACGCTTTGGTACATAAAAATGACATCCAAGCTTTTATACATAAAAATGACATCATCGCTTTTGTTCATAAAAATGAAATCCACGCATTTGAACATAAAATGACATACAAGCATTTGAACATAAAAATGACATCCACGTTTTTGTACATAAAAATGATATCCAAGTTTTTATACATAAAAATGACATCCACGCTTTTATACATAAAAATGGCATCCTCGCCTTTGTATAAAGAAGGTGCAACAAAATAAATTCTATATTATAGTGTGTGTGTGTGTGTGTGTGTGTGTGTGTGTGTGTGTGTGTGTGTGTGTGTGTGTGTGTGTGTGCATAGAGAAGGATAAAGATGGAGATAAAAGAAAGCCAAAGAGATATCCTGCTTTCAATTTCCCGCCATACATTTTTCATTAATAACCATGGGAATGCCATGAAATCTTCTCTTCTTAATCGTGTTTAAGACAAAAACTCGGACTGCTAATGACATTTTCTGCGCCTATAAATGTTATGCCCTCGGCGCATTAGAATTTCTTAAACAGAAACAGAAAGAAGGAAGGAAACAAATGATGGAATAGAGTGATAAAGACATGGCATTCATGATTTTTTAACTTTTAATAATTCTTACGTCAAATTTTCTGATATTCTATGAAAATGTGTAAAGTATTACATACAATATCAGGTAGCATCATATATAATTTCCGTTAGTGTTTATCTATTTTATACTTGAAAGGCACGGGAGAATAATAGATAGCGGCTCGGAAAGGTAACAATCATCTTCTCCCCTCAGCTATGAGTAAATAGCAGGACAGACCGGGTTCTCTAGTCTTGGATGGCAACTGGTCTACCGCAGAAATATATGGCAACCTACTGCGGGAAAAAATTGTCTCGTCATTCCTGTATCGAAAGATACATGATCGCCTAAGCGTGTATCACGCATGGCACATAATTGAGTGAATGAAAAAATTAAGTACAATTACATTAAATTCAATGATTTGGAATGGCTTGCTGCCACTTATAAGACAGTTCTTCTTAATCTGTTGAATAAAGTGGCACAGGTTTCGATGTATAAATAATTTTAATGAACACACGAGTCTAGTTTTAATATGAAAGTACTGATTCCGATTGAAATTTATAAAATATATCTCTTCAACCTTTTTCATTTAGGAAGAAATGGTTTCTCAACAACTACAACAGCTGTTAACGCTTTTTCCACTAGTGTTGGGGGTTTCCTTCCTAACCTTTTATTTGAAGTAGAGTGGAATGTCAACATCTTGATTATGTCATTATTTTCTCTTCTCAAGCCCAGTAGCTGTTATCACTCTTTCCAGTATTGATGGAGGTTTCCTTCCTAAACTTTTATTTGAAGTAGTGTGGAATGTCAACATCTTGATTATGTCATTATTTTCTCTTCTCAAACCCAGTAGCTGTTATCACTCTTTCCAGTACTGATGCAGGTTTTCTTCCTAACCTTTTATTTGAAGTAGTGTGGAATGTCAACATCTTGATTATGTCATTATTTTCTCTTCTCAAACCCAGTAGCTGTTATCACTCTTTCCAGTACTGATGCAGGTTTCCTTCCTAACCTTTTATTTGAAGTAGAGTGGAATGTCAACATCTTGATTATGTCATTATTTTCTCTTCTCAAACCCAGTAGCTGTTATCACTCTTTCCAGTACTGATGGAGGTTTCCTTCCTAACCTTTTATTTGAAGTAGAGTGGAATGTCAACATCTTGATTATGTCATTATTTTCTCTTCTCAAACCCAGTAGCTGTTATCACTCTTTCCAGTACTGATGCAGGTTTTCTTCCTAACCTTTTATTTGAAGTAGTGTGGAATGTCAACATCTTGATCATGTCATTATTTTCTCTTCTCAAGCCCAGTAGCTGTTATCACTCTTTCCAGTATTGATGGAGGTTTCCTTCCTAACCTTTTATTTGAAGTAGTGTGGAATGTCAACATCTTGATTATGTCATTATTTTCTCTTCTCAAACCCAGTAGCTGTTATCACTCTTTCCAGTACTGATGCAGGTTTCCTTCCTAACCTTTTATTTGAAGTAGAGTGGAATGTCAACATCTTGATTATGTCATTATTTTCTCTTCTCAAACCCAGTAGCTGTTATCACTCTTTCCAGTATTGATTGGTTTTTCCTTCCTAACCTTTTATTTGAAGTAGTGTGGAATGTCAACATCTTGATTATGTCATTATTTCTCTTCTCAAGCCCAGTAGCTGTTATCACTCTTTCCAGTATTGATGGAGGTTTCCTTCCTAACCTTTTATTTGAAGTAGTGTGGAATGTCAACATTTTGATTATGTCATTATTTTCTCTTCTCAAGTTCAGTAGCTGCTATCACTCTTTCCAGTATTGATGGAGGTTTTTTTCTTAACCTTTTATTTGTACTGTTAACATCCTGGTTATATCATTATATTCTCTTCTAGTTACATGTTCTATTGATTTTCGTTGTTACCGCTGTTGGCAGTCCTAGAATGATGCGGTTTTTATTATTTAGTACATTCCTTTCTTTGGGAATTGGTAGCGCCCGTCCACACAATTCAAAAAATGATTAACTTTGCCAGGACTACAAGACTTTAGTCACTCAATGATTTTTTTTTTTTTTTTTTTTTACCATTGATTGTAGAAAGCGGTTTTGTATACCTTACAATTTAGATATATTTGAACGGGTGGGGCGCCATGCATGACACCCATGTGAAAGTCAAGGCTATTTTTAAAGATTGTGTGCCTAGAAAAATATTCTTTTTTTTTTTTTTATTAATATGCTTGTCATCAGCATGGCTGATGCTAACCTCCAGGAGAGTAACTCTTGGCACCTTTTTGGATCCCGTTTACCACTGACATTAAGTCGAGTGATGATCTTGATAAAGTCTGTTGTTAGGAAAGTTGATTCTCGACGTCGTCTCAGACAGCTTTTAGTCAGGATCCATCTTGCACATTTATAAATTATTCATGAACATGACTCGAGTTGACGTTTTGGTTTCTTAGCAACTGACCGTTTTGTGCGAAACGACCTCAGATCTAGACTATTCCAAGTTCAATTCTTTTTCTTTTTTTACTACTATACTTAATTATACTTACAACTGATCCATTCGCCAATTTTTCTGATGACATAACACCCTTATTTATAACATAATAATCATATTTTCTTGGTACCCTCCTCAAGATGACTGGACAATTTTTGCAAACATCCGAATGTCTGTGTTTCCTGCCTTCCTGCTATTTCCACTGAGGGTATGGCTTACGTTCACACACTCTGTGATAAATGCTACTGTATATATATTCTGAGGAATTTCTTTTTTTTATTCCACTGCACACGTTCCACAAAGCCAAAGTGACACTCAAATCAGGGCTTTATGAATTCTATCATTGCAACGGTGTACAAAGAGAGTGAATATTATGAGGATATACAGGATAGACAACAGTTGACCAGTGACCTGAAGAGATCAAGACTGTAGTGTTCGAGTTAACATGCCCTCGCTGGTCTGTTCCACATTTCTGTACCTGGAAAGAAATTAACCTGAGTTGAACTTCCTCCTTACCAATGGAATATAAAGAGATCTCGTTCTCTACATATTGCAGTGCTTAAGAAGGAGTTCATCTGATGACGAATCTGTGTTGCTTTTCTTAACCTCCGCCCTGTAAAGAGCGTTATAGTCATTAGAAAGAGGATGTAAGCAAGAAACTTTCGATCTCAGATCAAACAAGACGTATGACCCAGAGGCATGAACTCTCATCTTACTCTACATTTTGTTTCGTAAACATTTTTTTTTAACTCTTTGGATATTCTAAGAAATAAATTTAATTATTACTGGACGAATCAAGATTTCCATTAATGTAAACGGAAAACAGAGCATACGTGTTGGTTCTCAGCATGGAATTTCGATTGTGACAAAGTAGAAGGTTTACAATGCTCTCATACGGTCGTCATTGCTGCATACACTGTAAAACCAGATCAAGATCGCACATGAAAAAACTGGATTTCCCCAGATGTGTCTCAGCCGTATACTGGTTAACCGGTTGTAGATAGATGTATGTTAGATAGATATTTTGGAAAGCATTCAGTTTTTTAACATAAAATATCTATAGGGAGTTTCATTAAGATGGATTACATATAAGGGTGTTTCAGTAAAAAGGATCAAAGCCAGCAGTAAATAAATCAGTGTTATTGGTGAAAATTGATTTATTTCTCTATTGGATCATGTTATTTACGTTATGGGAATTATGTGTGAAAAATAATATCGCCTAAATGTCCGCCAAATCGGAAATAAAAAGAAAAACATTCTTTAGACGCATAAACTTGATTCACATTTAAAATCGGTTCAAGTTATTGGAACACACTTTATTTCTTCGGTATCGGTTACAACGGAGTGTTTATCGGGTCAGTATGAATGATGACTGTAACATTGAGTAGATTCTGTTGACAGTGAAAAAAAGTTTAATATACAAACAGAAATTGTGATTAAGATCGTCGCAAGCCTATCGCTATTTCCATGGAAAATGTTCAGATTAAGTAAATTACTTAGTTCCACCGATCCTAACCTTTCCAGCTAAAACGGATCATGCCACGCACATTGTAGCAAACGACCCTCATTCCCATTTATATTCTAGTGAGTTTTCACTTAAGCATCTTTTTCGCACGAACTGCTGCTTTGTGCAACCGACTCCCAAATTGGTGCCTCCCAGTTGATTAGAGTTTCAACCTGTTCAAGTCTAGAGTTAATCGTCATTTTCTTTACATATTACCACAAACTGTGACTCTTCCCCTGTAAAACTCTAACATGAGAGGTTCTTGCGCTTTGTTAATGATGAAAATCATCGGGTTTTTTTTTTAAATGGCTGAAAAATACTAAATCTATGTCATTCCCTCTGGAGTAAAACAATACACAATGGAAAAAGTGACTTTGAACAGAATCGTAGATAGTGAAAACTTAAGAGAATTCTTCAGGGTTTTGGCGTTAATATACCAATGTTTACACAGAGTTTGATCTGAGGTGTGAGGACCTTGGTTGCGTCTATCAAAGTAGAGGAGGCCTAAAAAATCTTGAAAGCCGCGTCATCCACACATAAATTATTCGTGCCACATTATACTGTATTACTAATTTTATTTAGTGTGAAAAATATCTGTCATGGTTGGTGGACTAATATTCCATATCAGATTTGACCAAATAATAATGTAGCAACTACTTTAAGAGGTGCCCATTATTGTCACGTCCGAACTAGCGAATAAAGTTCACTGGCAGGAATAAAAGGCTATATTCTCGCTATAATATTGGAATATAGTTTAAGCGATATCATTTTTCAAAATATGTTGCATTATATAGTATTATTATTAGTAGTAGTAGTCGTAGTATTAGTAGTAGTAGTAGTAAATACTTGTTGGAATGTATTTACTAGACAACCAATATGTTTCTCCAGGAGGCGAAAGCTAAGTGTTGGGTTAAACAGCTAACCATATCTCTCTCTCTCTCTCTCTCTCTCTCTCTGACGCCCCCCGCGTGTGTGTTGCCCCAAACGTGACGTCCGTCTGTCTGCGTCAGTCGTGCTATCCTGTCTTGTGACGACCAACTGGCTTGGTATTGGTCGCGGCACCCAAATGTGACGTTCCAAACTTTTTGGTGATTCGGATGGGAATCTGGTTAGATTCGGTATCAGCCTCGTCGTTCCCAGCTCGCTTCCAACGTCTGGTTGCCGAAGTAACTGCTTTGATTTCTAGTCTAACTTACCCAAGTTGTGAATTGATCTAGGCAGACGAAATCAATCAGTCGCTGGGCCGTACTGCAAGCTGAGTTCGAATAAGGGTGATATCGCACAAGTATATGTAAAATAAAATAAAATAATAACTCGAAAAGTTCAAATGTGTTAAAAAGGATAACAATATTTTATATCTGGTTGCTGAATATAGGACTACGTCTTTCTCCCAAAACAGCTATATGGATTCGTGACACGTTGTTTTTGTTAGGCGGTTCTTAAGTTGTCTGTTCTTTAAGAAACTGGTTCTTGGTGTGTCTTCAGGCGATATTCGTAAAACTTGTTTTGGTGTTATGAGTCTAAGTCGTTCTTCAAAAATAAATTGTTCTTGGTTAAAAGATGAGTCTGAATTTGCGTGAATCTTTCAAGTCAGCTATCTGCGAGGCTCTGCCAATTGCCAATTCCAACCGGATCTGGATCTGGAACTGCCCGAACTCATTTTTGCTCGTTGCGACTTTGCTTCTATTGGGTGGGTGGGGTGATCTCGTCGGGGCTTGAAATTCCTTGATAAATCTAAATCCACAGTCCACTTCTTTGTTTTTGTTCAGGAAATTTCCACTCCTTTCCATTTTTGGAAGTCTTCTCATACTCCCACCTTCTACTGTTCTGATATGGGTATCTCACCATACCCTCAGAGGGCATCAACGGTTTTCCCTCTCTCGCAGTGACATCTCATACCTATCCCCTCAATAGGGTGGTCGCAGGCCTCCCCCTGCATCACATGGTCACTTCCGTCTGGCTCTCGTTAACATTCATCCAATAGGCGCTCAGCAGTGTAGGTGCGACGGACTAGCCTTGTTTTCAAAAAAAATATCTTGCTCGAAGAAAAAAAATTATCTTGTCTTTTCCTTTTTCCTTCTTTCTTTCTCTTTTCTTTCGTAGTGTGGTTCCCTTAATCGCAGCTCTTATCCTCAATGTCACCTGGTACCTATCAATGAGATTTGCGCCAATTATCATTTGGGTGGTCATCTAGCGAAACACAGCCAACTTTTCGTCCCGATAAGGTAGTTTCGATATCCTAGCTGTATTTGCATTCTTGGTGCCAGTTTCTGATAAAATAGTTTCGCTCTCATAGTCAAATTCCAACACAACCCAGATGCCTTGTCCAACGACACCCTCCCATCGACAAAGACTTAACCTATGGTTTGGGTTTTCTTTGTTTTCGCAACTCGTGTGTGGCCAACGGACAACACAGTCTCTGAGGCCAGCTGGCCAAACCTGGAATTCGTCAATTAGCTTTTCGCCGTCACCAAGCGGTTGGCCCGTTAGACGCTTTCACATTCTGGCGTTATGTATTCCCGATAATATAAGTTCGCCACGATGACACAGTTAATTTTTATCTATTTAGAATTCTCGACAATGGCAATAAAAATTTTCACCATTTTCCTTGCAGCCCAAATTGGTGTCACATCTTTCACTCTCTATCTCTCTCTTTCTTCTCTCTCTCTCTCTCTCTCTATATATATATATATATATATATATATATATATATATATATATATATATATATATAAAAAAGAAGAACAGACCATTTAAAGGTATCATTATAATAATTTATTTCACCAGAGACCTTTTAAAAGGACGCCGGATCATCAGATAGCACTTCCAACAACGAAATGAAACGAAAAATGAGATTAAAATTGGTAGGTAGTGTAAGTCTTTGTAATTTAACAGGGGTGATATAGGGATAGTTAAAGAGACATGGTAGAGTATAGGGAGGGGTTAATTTCAAATCTCTCTCATGTGTACTTTAGATTGGGTTAGGAGGAGTGACCAGACCTTGGCGTATTTAGATGGTTAACTTAACGGAAATGATCTATTGAAATAGGAGGGGAGTAGGGAGAAAAGTAAAAGGAAAAAGGAAAAAAGAAAGAGGAGACAGAAAACAGTAATACAGATATATACAAATGAGTCTTACACCAAGGAGAGGGAGAGGGAGATGGAAGTAAATCGAAAGAGGCTGTAATTGTTCTTTAACAAATTTATGTAAAAGGATAGATTTCAATGCTTGATAGAAATTTAGATGTCTAAAAAAATTTGATGATTGCTATCAATTTAAATATTTAATTTTTTAAGCAAATAGGTTAGGGGCTTAATATAAGTGACAATCAGCATATATATATATATATATATATATATATATATATATATATATATATATATATGTTGATTGTCACTTCTTGACAGAAGAAGACTATCCCCACAGCAAATTTCTTTCTTTATTTTTATAACTCACCGATCATGTGAGCGCAGATGACTTTTTAAACCAGACAAGAACAGTCGGATGCTCACGATATTTCGAGCAGGTGTATTGTCGTTGTAAAGCAGCCACGATTTGTCCTGCCACAAGTCTCGCATGTAAAAAAATGCATTGTTTGCAGAAAGCTATCATTTTACGTGTATATTCCAAGATATCATGTAACGCAAACTGCTTATCTCAAAGCTCGCACAGCACACAAAGTCCCATTACTTTATCAGGCAGACCTATATTAATTTTCAGACACACCTATATATATAGATATATAGATATATATATGAATTACATAAAAAGAAACTCAATTTTTCCACATTAAGTTGGCTATTTCGCTTCTAGAATGAGTTCTCTCCCAAAGAATCTCCTAGCGATTTTAAACAAAAAAATTAACTGAGATAAAAAGTAAGAGAAAAAAGAAAGGGGGAAAAAAGAAACAAACTTCAAATAAGGGGAAAAGGGATTTAAAAGTGAGATAGAGACAAAAAATAGTGAGGGGCATACAAGAATTGGAGAGAAGTGCGATGACAGATATACACACAAGTTAAAAAACCGTTGTAAATTAACTATGGCCTATATTTAAAATGTTAACTTTTGATTAAAAGAAAAAAAATTACGTAAGGATGATGTTTAACGATGGGAAAAAAGTTTTTAAGATTGTAGATTAAAAACATTTTTAGAATTTAATATTAATACTATTATTTACTTTTAATGTTATAAAAAGGAATTTATTATTATAATAAAAATTAAGACATTAGTAGTATGTAAACGAGATAAACCAGTATATTAAAATTAATAATTCAATAATAGAAGAATTAAAATAAATAGATAAGTAATAAGCCCCCAAAATTATAATATAAGGGAAAAAATATATAAGGAAATAAAAAAATATTATATATTACACCCGAAATATACATGAATCATATACAGGGTGTCCATAAATGTGATGTGCGCTTTAAAAGATTTGCGGTAAATATATAATTTTATTTGTATTTGCAATAGAAATAATTTGTAAAAACGATTAGAAAGAAGTAAATCTATATTTTTTAGGGTTTTATTGAAATTTTATTTAAGTTTACACATGCCCTCCATCATTAGCAATACAAAGGGTAATACGCTGGAAAAAAGAAAATATTTTTTACTTATCTAAAAATTGTGACAAATTTTGTGGTAAAGAATTATTCAATAAATATACTTAAAACTATGTACATTAAACTTTATATCATTTTTTACAGATTATTTCTATCGCAAATAAAAATAAAGTTATAAATTTTTTAAACTGAACCCGAACTTTATGGACAACTTGTATATATATATATATATATATATATATATATATATATATATATATATATATATATGTGTGTATGTATGTATGTATGTATCTGTACACACGCGTGTAAAAGCAGTAGTGAATTCGAAGTTGGCAAGACGTGAAAGTTGAGAGTAACTAAGAAAATAAAAGAACAACGAAAAAAATAATCCCAGGAAAAGAAAGAACGGATTGTCAGGAAATCACACAACCACACAAGATTCTTGCTTTTATTGCGTTCTGAAATATTTAAACTAAGTGAAGCTTTATTCTTTTCTTTTGTGTGTGTGTGTGTGTGTGTGTGTGTGTGTGTGTGTGTGTGTGTGTGTGTGTGTGTGTGTGTGTGGTTTGTTTTCCTGTGTCACACATGCCTTACGTAGAAAGTTTGGTGAGACGAAACTACAGATGAATATGCATTCGTTCTGAAATTCAACGACGTCATCCAACAGGCACGGAAGCGATACATCTATTCTCGTATGAGACGAGATTAGAAAAGCATGTCTATGCGAGTCAAGGAATATTAATTCATCTCATGGTAGGCGTTATTTAGTGCATCAGATAAACAGAATCATATTTTGTCTTAGTCATAACTTTATATAAAACTAGTTGCCTCTATTTTTGTTATTTATATAAATTTATTTCCTATTTTCATATAAAATGTAACACATTATTATTTTGAATCATTTTATATCTTACATAACTCTTTTTTGAAATTCCGTTAAATCGATAATAATTCAAGGAGTAGTAAAAAAGTTTGAAATATTTCATCATTAATTTAATTGAAACCTATTTTTTTAGTTTTTCAAAATTTTAAATACCAATCAAAATAAAGAATGTTTGTTAAAATCCAAATTCCTAAGGCTCAGGGAATTCCTGACCAAAAAAATACAATACGCAACATCAAAATATTGTGCTGAGTGAACTGCAAACTTATTTATACAACGGGCTATAAAGATATTCATATTCTGTAGAGAGTGATCATTATACAGCTAAACAGGGTTTTAAGCAATTATTGGTTCTCCGTTACATTCCACTGACGCCATCTGTTCGATTACACAGCCCGATTTACAAACATCATTTGCTTTTTGCCAGATACATATGTTGGTCGTCAGCAAATGCAACAGTCACACGAAACTAGTCACAAACTGGAGACTCAAAATCATATTCCAAAACTGCAATATCTG